TATTAGTGTAATATTATTGATAAATGTATTTTTATGTTAAATAATTTGTGTAATATATTTTTTATGCAAAATAACTTGTAATTTTATTTGTTGATGTATTATAACTATATTTTATAATTATTTTTAATACTGAAATAGTACCATAGGATGAAAATTTATCACAATTTTTTCAACACAATACACATCTTCATTTAATTGATTTATTTATAATAGAAAAAATATGTAGTAAATTATTGGACAAACTAGGATTAACACATGCAAGAAATTTATTTTCAATGACTTAAATTATAATTGAATTTTTTTCTCAAATATTAGTTAATATACTCGTAAACTCGTAATATTTTAGTAAATAATATAATCTTTATATAAATATTGTTGTAATATTTATATTTTGTTAATTATACTATGATAATTAAATATTTTATATGTGTAAAATAATATACCTAATTACACTGGTAATATTAAAATAATTTAAAATAATAAGAATAAAAAAAATATTTTTAGAGTAAAATGTAGCGCAAACAGTTGGAGACAAACTTGATTTTTGTATCACTCTACTCTAGAGTAGAGTAACTTTGCACTAGAGTAGAGATATATGCATATGACATTATCCTACAAAATTGTGACAATTTGACTTAATGCTAACCTGTCAATCGCTGCTGGAGAAGAGTAAAATCTCCCAGATTTTTTTTTCCAACGATAAAAAGATCTCACATATATAACAATAAAGAGTACCACTCGAAAAGCTCACTAGCTCTAACAGTTCATAACACAAACTAAGGAGAACCACTTCAATGGTGGACTACACAAACCGACACAAAACACAAACACAGTCTACTAAAGGCAAATGCACAGATTTGAGCCTTTTAGTACAACAACCAACACAAACTCAAATGACATAAAACACAATAAACATAAGAGGCCACTGAACATAAGAACCTAGCATCTCCCAGATTTTTTGCTGACACATTTTGTGCAGCATCAAGGATGTGCTAAAATAACTCTTCCTCAAGATTCTTTTTTTTTTTTTTTTTTT